TACTAATTCTTTTCTCTCTTGGCGACATTAAAATTCTCTTATTTTATCGTAAATATTTCGTATCCGTGAAACAAATGGAAGCTTTTGAAGATTTCTCGTTCTCTTAAAATAATGTCTTCAAAGATCGAAATTTAATAAGCAACAAATTTATTGATGCACGACGCGGAAACGTAGAATCAGAAAAATACATATGTTAAAGACTAACATTCCATGTTTGCAAGCGATTCAATCTTAATAATTGTTAAATATAATAAATTATTTTTTTCTCTTCCTCTTTCTATTTTATTCTTATGCGACTTATTATGTTGCCCCAAGTGCGCTTCATTTATTCGCTAATTACTATACTTTTATAATATATGATAGCATTTCTCACTCGTTTATCCTATTTTACCTCATTGTTTTTTTAAACCGATTGCGTAATTGTTTCTTTGCCGAGCGCGATTTTGTGTCTTACTCTTGTCGCTTCTCGCTTTCGGCCTCACTTCAATATCATTTGAGGATACCGCGACCGTATTGCGCGTTCGTGAAGCAGGATCGAGTTCTCAACTCGCGATGATCCCGTCAATGTCTTGGCAGCCGCCGAAATTGCTTCCGAAACCAGGGAAAATTTTGATTCGTACATTGTATACATACATATAGAATCTAAAGTATAAATGAGAAGAGAGAGAGAAAAGACAGGAGATACCTGGCAGAAACTCTCATTAACACAAGGATGACTAACAATTAATTAAGAAATTGATCGAAAACAAGAGAAGATGTGTTTGTGTGTGCATGTGGGGGTGTATGTGTGTGCGCGTGTGGTATAATTGATAATCTTTTTTCTTAGCGCGATATAAAGGGGATTAATATGAAACAAAAATGGAATATTTTGGACGATAAAGTAGAACTTGGATGGGCAAGGGAGGATGGAATGGGGTATGGGAGGAAGAAAGGAACAGATAGAGAGATAAAGAGAAACAAAATAATAATGTCCATGTTGCTAAACTACAATTAGCGATGAGATAGATATCGCGCATAGGCGACGTCTTAGTTTATAAAAGTAAATTAATCCTTAGGACACAAGTGAGAGAGTAAGTTAGTGAGAAAGAGAGTGAGATAGAGAGAGAAAAAGAGAGAGCGAACGAGAGAGAGAGGAGTTAAAGAGGAAACATACAACACAGAACAGGGATACACATGAATAAACTGTAGCAGTCTACGTTATCACTTAGGCTCTAGGTAATTATCAAGCCCTCTTTCGTATGTAGAAAAACGTAGCGCTGGAAACGCCGGCGGTGGGATTCCGTCGCGAATCCGACACTTTCGGTGTCGCCATAAGGAGAAGGAGCGCTCTTTCTCCAAAGAGCGATTCTCTCGTTTCGCGCGTACGAAATCGTAAGAAATCGGAAATCGATCGGCGTACGTTCAACAAACATTGATTTTCTTCGATGCCACGTGAGACGGAACATTTTTGAACTTCCTTCTGACCGGAGATCTCCCGTCCGTCACAGTTCGCGAAAAATTTTTATCAGATTAAAATATTAAGACTTATTGCGCACGATGCAAAAGAGTTGTTTTTTTGACGTTTGTCTTACTGGCATCGGATTTTGAATTGCTCCGCGAGCGAGTTAGTTGATTATTGATCGGTTTTGACCGAACGATCCACCAAAACCAAAATGCCGATCGATGCTCCCGGTGATTTTTCCCTACCGATAGGGGAGAGAACCAATCGCCCGAGCAATAATGTACTTCTTCCGATCTATGTGACTCTTTTGGAGTCTTTTACTCGACTCCGGCCTCGTCCTCAGCGAAAATCGACGTTGGCGGATTATCTTTGAAAATAGATTGAAATGATCGATATCTAGAAATCCCGACGTCGGTGTTTGCCCGTTTCCTCGCTAACGATCTTTTATCGGGATATTGAAGATCCGGCGGGCATTGGATTCGTTCTTGTAGACGGAGACTTTATGAGGCCCGATGTATTCGTGAGAGTTTTATTAGATTGAAATATCTTACTTCTCCGAAAGCGGATAATTTATTTTTCCTAATTTTGATATAGTAAAAAATCTCTCTTACATGCCTAAAAAATTTAAGTGAGTTTCGCTAGGTATCCATTTAAATAAAAGAATTATATTTTTAAAGTAATAATTCTTTTAACGAGTATTTTTGATATTTTTTGCGCGAGAGCAATTTTCAGTAAAATATATAATTTTCTAAAATATAATAAATCCAAAACAGAAAGATCTCACTGGAAAATTTTACTCTTGTGATGAAGGCTCTCAAAAATACATTTGGCTATATGTAAGAAACGGTGAAATAAAGCAGAAGAAAAGAAAAAGATAATGGAAGTAAAGCGAGTTCTTTTTTTCAAGAAAAACACCAACATACACGTACACACACAGACACAGACATACACAGTAGTCACGTGTGAAGCGTAAATTTAAATTATTATAAATACTAATACTAATTAATATTATTGAATATATACCTCTTCTGTATATACAATTAAGCAGCAACAATAATAATGATTAATAATTGATGATCGTGAACGATAGACGAACGGCAGAACGGGGCAAACACAATAATTGCGCATTGTTTCTAGAACAAAATGAGAAAAAAAAAAGAAGAAAACAGTGGTGAACGATTATTAAGTTGTGAATATTAATAAGTGATTGTAATTATATATACTTATACTTGCGGCGATACGATGATGTAATTGTATGGATCCACACACCACACGGTATAAATATTATAAATACATTATAGTGAAACGACGACGACGATGGTGGAGACAATGGTGATTTTTATTATATTACTATTATTATTAATATTATTAATTAATAATTATTACCATTATTATTGCGATCATTGCTATTATGGTTGTATTATATTGTATCGAGGAATATATACTGAGACAAGAATGATGAGAGTCAAATTAGACGTGAATGAGTGCAACAGTATCGAGTAAACGAAGAATAAATCCAAGGAGTGTCGTGTCATTTGTACTTAATTATACCACCTAATATGGACCAGGCTACACAATCGAGCCTCGTCAAAGATTCCACCGTGTTTCTTACTTTCCATTTCTATAGACACCGTTCACGAGCATCGCGCGATAATGAATCTACGAAACGGCCGTACTTTTATTTTCGACGGAGTACTTAAGTTATGAAAAAATTAATTTCGGAAATCACAGAAACCTTTGCAAGACGCGTTGATAGACAACAGAATTATCACTACAACATAATATCGATATTTGCATTTTATAAAAATATTAGACGTACGTATGCCTTTTTACAATATTTGCTTTCTTTTTATTAACAATTATCTGATTCTCTTAGATATCGAAATAATCTGAAATATACTTGATACGAGGGAAATTTTTCGTAAGAGTCATTATTGCACGTCATTAACCTGTAGAAATAACACCAATATGTCAAGTTGTGTCATATCAAGAAATTTATTTGTTCAACCTTTTTACTTTATTTTTTGAATTTTTCTAGGAATATACATACACACAAAACTTGACAGCAAAGACATTGTAAAAAATGAATCAGAAAAAAATTGATAAAAAATTTATTTTAAAAAACCATAAATTCTTAAACTTGAAAATCAGAGCCGCATTAACTTTTTATATTATAGTATTTAAATTAATTTCAAATATTTTATATTTTTATCTATTTTATTATAAGTAAATAATGATTTTAAAGAAGCTAATAAAAACTGAACATTAATGATAAAAATATTACAGAATGACAATGTTAGTATTTAATAGTTAAAAAATTACATTAAAATTTTCTATGAATAAAATTAGTCAGATTTATTGAAAATTATCAGTTACTTAAAAAATTACAGCTATAATTTTTATTATTAAATTTTTATTATAATCATATTATAACGTTTTATCTAATTAATAGATGAATTATTTGAATAATTGATTAATTATTCATTTAATTTTACTTCATTTTTTAAACAATACTATACCATATTTTCGGAACGAAATAGTTTAAAATATAACAATATTTTATTACAAAATTTTAATTCAATTTCTAAAAATAATATTTAATTTTATAGTACCTATTTTTTTCTCTTGGGAAGAAAACACGGAAGAATCATGCTCATCCGTTTTCGTCTTGCGTAAGACTAGATAATACCATGCGTGAATGATCCTCTCACGCGTGTATACTTGTCCTATGAAAGTCTCAACTCAAGATCTTACGTTTTTCGATTTGCTCAAGAGGAATCGAAATATCAGTATATTATTTCTTGGCGAGCCGAACCAATGCTCAATACGATGCTGCTGTTGATCTGAAATCGATAATAATAAAGAAAAGCTGACGACCCACGATTTTCTTTATCTATACCGTCTGTACCTATAGGCCTGTAACGTGTATATGCAGCGGAGTATAAGGGAATAATAAAAAAGAAAAGCAGAAGCAACAAGGTTACACACTTTTTATATGCATGATTTATAAGTTTTAATTTTTAATATTAAAGGAGATATATACCACATGTTGTGTATGTGTGAATGAATTATTGGTTATTTAAATTGATGTTTTAAAATACCAAACTTGGGCTTTTCATTTTTCTATGACTTCTTCCTCACCTTTGCACCATGTTTTATGTTCTGCCTCTCTATTATTAATATACATCTTTTTTAATTTGTAAAATAAAACTCAAAAACTTTAAGTTTTAAATACTGTAAATAAACAGTATATAGTTTTAAAATTTAACAATATAATAAAATGAATTAAAATTTAGAAGCGTAAAAAAATGTAAAAAATAAAAAATACAAACACACAATTACATTATTATTATTATTATTGCTTTATTACTGTCATTGCATGTTATTTTTTTTTCGTTCCTTCCAAGAAATTTGACGTTCGATTATCAGACGACGTCGAGTATACGATGCTAATTTCGTACGATTATAGTTGTCAAGTCGCAATGTCTGAATCACGTCGTCAACGTCGGAAGCACGACCAAGACGTTCGAAATTCTACGAAATCGCTAAATTCCCACAAATGGCCGATGCGTTGAAAGCATGGCTACGTACAAGACTAGGTGCGATCATGGATCTCACGCCGGATACATTTGGTCGGTACACGAGAGACGGCACATTACTGGCCCAGATTCTGCACAGCTATGATATAATCAATAGCGATCAACTAAGCACCATTCTTCCTACGCGAGATCCTGCTTTGTGTAGAGTAAACCTGAGGACTCTACGAATCTGGCTGAAGCTCATCAATGTCACGCTGAGCGATGAATGCATTGAAGAGATCTCTAAAGTACCCTTGCAAAAGAAGCAGCACAATAAATAGATTTAAAGATGTGAACCGGATAAGGAAAAAAAAACGTTTAAATAATTTTTTAATTCAAAAACTTTTTGTTTCAATTTCGAGTTTTCTAAAGTAAACATTATTATTCGGAAAAAAAATTATATTAAAAACAAATATTATTTTTAATATAGATAAATTCCTATTAATTTACATATTTTTTAATAAAGATATTAGATACTATGCTGTAAGGTGGTCTGTATAAGAACAACACTTTAGGGTAAAGGTGCAGCGTCTCTCCAGCTGTTCTACAAGGTTTACTTGAGCCTCGAGGGCAAGGACCGATTGCATTTTATCGCTCTTCAGAAAGAGCGAAAGTACATGCCTAATAGATTCGATGTCTCTACAGTGTCTGAAGACCTAGTCCCTTATTTACCACGTGAACACCCTTTATCGGCACCATTGGTCGAGGCAGCCGATACTGTCCTCTGGCACAGAAATAAGTTTTGGGCGATCACGGAAGCCTGTAGACGAGAACGAGAGCGATTTGAGGACCTCATGAAGTATCCTGTGACACAGCCGATTGAGCACTTTGTTCCGGAAAAGTTGCCGGATAAGAAACAGAAAGAGAGCGAAATGCTAGACGAATTTACTCGTAAACATCCGGTTTGTAAGACAAAGAAAAGATACCAAGTCGAGTGTTGTCCCTCGAAAAGAACCTTGGATGTATCCTGTATCGAGGATCCCACAGCTGCTGCGGAATATGTTGACTTCCTGAAGAAACGCAGCAAGAAAACGGTTAAATGTCACGAATTGAAGCTGAAGACACAAACAACGATGATGGCAGATGCTTGGGAACAATTACTGAGGAAACAGGATAGATCCTTTGATGAGGCTTTGGGAAGACGAGTATTGGATCAATCGCGTTACGAAAAACAGATGTTGAGGAAGCTGTGTGAGGTGCGAGATTTAAGAAATAGAATTGTGGAGACTCGTAGGATAGTTGATACAATGTTGCTAAAGGCTAAAGAGAACGAACTACGATTGAAGCAATATCGTCATGAAGAAACAATAAAGGAAGAGAGAGAAGAAGTGGAAATGGAGGTCTGTAGAATGCGCGAACTGCATCAGAGAATTCACGATGAAAAGGTAGGTAATATTTTATTATACCCTAGAACAAAATCTCTTCTATTAGGAATAAGAAGAAAAATATAAGCAATGGTTACATAAAATAATTATAAGATATTGACAATATTAAGCGAAATTAAATACAGGGTAGAATAGAGAAATATTCAATTTAAAAATAGAAGAAAACAAGAGAAACTCATTGTAACACATAAACGAAAGGTGACATGTTATATATAAAACTCAATATTTTAAAATTATTAACAAAATTTATAAGTTACATATATGTTAAATTTAAAAATACACAAATAAAAAGAGATTATAATAAATTTTAATTACTAATACATAAAAAATAATTATGATACATTTCTCATAATGTATAAATAATTTTCATTGGAAGGTGCTGATGTAAAATGTTTACATTTTAAAGGTGCGCAGAATGAAAAAGAAACATTACGATATTTGTTCAGAAATTATAAACAATTTCGTGGATATCGCAGTAAAAATTGCTGATTATCATCAGGCAAATGGTAATCATATCCCAAATTCTATTTGGAACGATTGGAGAATGTTATTTCTGAAAAGCCAACCAATATTCGGACATATGGATTACTTTGATGATGTCGAAGCAGAAAATATAAAGGAAAATGAAAAAGAGATGAAAGTGGATGAAAATGAGGAGAACGATGCAAAAGGGAATAGCAAGGAAAGAATAAGAAACAAAGAGAGAATAAAGATTGGAAAAACATTAAAAGTTGAAGAAAATCAAAAGTTAGTTCAGCTGGAACGTCAGCAATCTTTGACCGATGCAGACTTTGAGAGTTATCGGGATTTAGCTTCACCCTGGGATCAATTTGTGCCGAAGAAAGAAAAGGAAGTTGAAGAAGTTTACAGATTGGGTTGTGTTGTGCTTGGTTACATCGTTCATCGTTTATTGGAGACCTTGTATCCTTATCCGGCCAAAATAATGGATTGTCCAGTGCCTAGAGTCAAGGTCGCAGCCATTATTTTGGGTGTAGCAAATGCAACCATGCACAAACAGTTGCGAGAGTTGCTGAAGAATACTGGAATTCGTTTGCTGACGATGGAAGATGCGATCAATCATTGTCTGGAGAGCTACAAGCGGGAAATGGTCGATGTGGAGTACATCGATCTCAACATCATCTCGACGACGGCAAAAGACATCAAGAGATCGGAAGCTAAGAGAAAGGATGACTCAAGGGAGCGTCACCCAAAGAAGATTGAACGATCAGCGAAGTCGACAACGTTCCAACAAAACGTGGCTGAGGAGAAACAAACGCAAACGCCTAGACAGATACCTTATGATGATATGCACCCGATTTTAAGCGATACCGCGTATATAGGTAGAAGAATTTAATTAGTTTAAATAATAATTAATCCTTAAACATCTTTTCGATATGACATACTCAACTTTCTTCTTCAAATGCTTTTCTTACTGCTCATAACTTTTTTATTAATACATTGTATTATATTCATTTATATGAAAGTTATAAGAGCAATCGAATTAGGGAATGTGCCTAGTGTATTATTTAATTAATAGCATAAATAAAGTAATTTTGTAATCAACCTTAAAATTGTACTGTACGATAATAATGATGCCATTTTCAATAAACAATTCGTATAGATACAGTTTATTAAAGATAAAGTGGAACTGCATCGAGAATTAATTTTTTAATAATGAATATAATGAACATTAGGAATGTAATTGCCAAGATATGTATTTATTGTAGATTGCAGAATAACAGTGACTGCTATTTGATTGCTATCTGCGATATTTAGGCAAATGGACTTACGAGTTTCTCACGTTGGGTCAACCGATTTCGAACGAGTTGAATACGAAGATATTGATTGAGTATTTAAAAGGAATCGGAGATGTCGAGGGATGGGCATTAATAAATTATCCTAATACCTACGAACAGATGGCGATGTTAGAGAAAGCACTAACAGGATGTGAGATACCTCCCGATCCTGTCAATCTTACTGATGTCAACATCGACGACATCGATCCTTCGTCAGTCAGGATCGTGTTTCAGAGTGATGAAGTCGACACATTCGCTATATACAGGCGCGTTTCATCATTTTATGTCAAAATTAATTTGTGGTTTTGTAAGTTATATTAATTCTGAAAAGGTATTTAATCCATATGTTCAGATTCATTTAGAACGTTTTTACGATGTTCGCGTGTATTTAGCCTACAGTTCGTATTAGATATACTCTAGAATTTCAGACATAAAAAGCATTCTGAATCATTATTTTTAAATTTTACATAATAACATTTTGTAGAGTCAATTCGATTTCGCTCGTTATTTTCAATTAAAGTTAATTTATAATGAATTATTCATTATTGCATAATATGGATTTTCTAAAAGTAGATGTAATTTTAATAGGCAGTCTAGATTGTTGCCGAACCCGATTTTCAAAGCAAAAGATGATACTCCTTCTACGACGTTTATGACAATCTATATTAAGGTAATGCCAAAGTCGAAGACAATAGACAGTCAAGAACAGCTTTGTATACCTCTACCTGACGATGCTACTTCGATGGACGAATTTTACGCTAAACAAGATATTGCATATGGATTTTTTTACAATGTTTTCGACCTTCCAACTTTGGAACAATTAGCTGAATTTATCGCGGATCCTTTTCACGGAAAGAAATCACCATTGGCACTTTCCAAAAAGGCTCTACAGATAGATCATAAACAAAAATTTCTTATTAATTCGAAAACGGCTGTTATTAAACGTTTGATACCGAAATCCAAATGGAAACACTTAGAATACGAAGAAAAGAAAGATGTCGAAGATGAAAGCCGCGATTTACAATTAGAACCTGAAACACAGCTAGTAAATGGTTACGCTAAACCTGGAGAAAGCAATTGGCAATGGCTAGACTTCTTTCAGCCTGCAGCTTTACTCGAAATTTTAGCTACACTTTGGGAGAGTGTTGAACAAGCTTATATAGAAAATTTGAAAGAGACTCTTTCTTTGAAAAGAATGCATATGTCAGCCATTATACCCTACAGAAATCTTGTCTTCAGGAATTTGATGACATTCATTAATCGACCTGATAAACGGCAGATTTTGTTACAAGATTTTCATCATGCCTTTAATGAAATCGATGAAGATCTCAGGGAAGATTTAGACATGAAATGCGAGTTACACTGTCGGGTACGCACAGAAAATAATAATGTAGTAAAATAGTGAGGAAAAAGAGATCTTAGAATTTGTTATTATAATCTTAAGTTTTTATTCATATTAACTTTTAAACGTGGGGTCTATTTTAAAATCTTACATTTTTCTTTAGTAAGATTTGTTATAATTCATTATTTTTATATTTCTTATCTCAAAATATGATACTATTTCAGTGCCACTATAATGGCTTTTCTGTAAAGCTTAATAATCTTAATTTAATTTCAATATAAAATTTTTTTACTTTGACAGGATATAGAAAGAATTACATTTATTATTCTCTATTCGTTGTTAAAAGTGTTAAATTTTCCGCGTTAGGTCGATGACTTTCGAAAGGAGTTGTGGGAGCTGTGTGACGTGCGAAGATATGAGGCTGAAGAAGAAAGAAAACGTACGCTGCGCAATCAGTGGACTTTGATGGAAGCTGTGGTTCTCGTCAATGTGTACATTGGAATTTTGCAAACCGAAGTTGACAGATTCGTCGACACTATGCAGCTCCTTGAAGATTATTACACTTCTATGTCGCAGAAACCATTGCAAGAATCGCAATTTCCTAAAATTGTTCTCGATAACGTCGAATTGGAGGATGTTCTTCAGGAAATCTCATTGGTTGAAAATGAAAAACAAACGAAGTCCGAATCGATCGAAACGTCCGATCGAATCGTAAATAAGGATCAGTTTAAGACTGAAATCGAAACTTTGTTAATCGATGTATCGAAGAGCTTTGATCCTGACCAGAGCATCGTTTATAATACTATCAAAGATAATGTTCGCCAAGTGCGAAATACCGTGGATTCCATCTCGTCCGTGATACTGGAGATGTTGAAGAAGGAAGAGAAAGACGTGATTTCAAAAACCGAAATTAAAAGCAAAGTAGATATTTCGGCCGATTCTACATTCGCCAAACTAGCGAGAAGAAATCGGGATCTAATTGAGGAAAGACGGTACGCCGTTTTGTTCGAGATCGATCGTATATATCAGAGATTGGATGTGCTGAATGCAGCTGCTCGATCAGACGTGACTTTTCTTTTGGATACTTTGAAGCAGACCTTCCACCGCATTCACGATTATATCGTCGAGAGGTTGATTTAGTTAGAATTATTTATCGCATTAATCTTTTGTTTAGCAAGTTTAGCAAGTAACGAGATCGCAAAATGAATACAGTAAATTACTTTTGTGGAAATATTTGATACATAAATATAGTGTTTTAGAATCAATTATTTGCTCGTATAAACTTAAAATTTAATGAAATTGAAAATTTAAAAATACGCTTTGTTTCATAATTATAAGTTAAATAATAATTACATCATTTTTAATGTTTTAAAACATCACGAAGCTTTTTATAGATACTTTATAACATTATTGTTTAGATTAAAAAATGGTTCCTTATATATATTTAATTATTTCTAATTAATATTATTTATAATACCATATACATATACATATAAAAAATTACTCTTTAGAAATTAAATGTAATGTATAAAGGAATATATATTTTTAGATACAAACGTGAAATCGAAAGTATCGACGAAATGGCGAATGTTTTTTGCTTTGCTATTGAGGAAAAGAGACCGATTCAGCAAGAACTACTATTAGACGGCGATCAATTTGTCGTAAAACCAAATATTGCCGGTGAACATCGCGAACAATTCAATGTCCCGATCAGAGAGGCATCTTCACCTCTACGATTCAGAATGGTTCAACTTGGTCGGTTGATAGACATTTTCCAACGAATCGCTCCGCATGGAATCGTGAGTGAACGCGTCTTAGTGTACGTCCTCCAGGACTTGGTATCCTGCGGTGAAGAGGATTGTTATCCGCCCTTCGTGCCGTGCGCTTGGCGGCAGCTGCGACCTCCGGATATCGAAATATTGGTCGAACGATTGTTCGGCACCACCGAATACATCGAATGGCGAGAATTTGTCCTGTATGCGATGGATCTGCCTGTGCCATCGCATCAGGATATTCTGAAAGCACGAGCAGCCTTCAAGGTGCATGATCCTGAATCGAAAGAGGTGGTCACATGCGAACAATTCCACTTGACACCCTTGTGGTTTCTCGAAATTTCCACCCCTTACAAGAGTCTTTGGGATGAAAAACTTGATCACAGCAATTCCGATACATTAAAGAATAGAATGTTACGCAAGGAAGCACAATTAGGCGAGCATTTTTCGAGTTTGGGAAATGATTTCATAGAAAGGAGCGAGGATGATTCTGGGTACATGGAAAACGCAAATTGAACGAAATAAAAATTTGTGACGTAGACAATTAAAAAAGATTAAAACTATTTGTTTGAAAACTATTTGTTAAAACTTTCTTTATTAAAATTTTTTTAAAAGTTTATTTTAATTTTTTGTCCGCCAACGATCGATTAATCGCTTTCAATTAATTGTGTATTCAATTATAAACAGTTTTGATTGAAAAACTTTTTAAACAATGCTTTTTGAAATATATTCAAGAAGTACATAAAATTTCATTATATTTCACTTCTCTTTTTCGATTAAATTGCTTCCGCAGTGTAATATTGAGACTGATGCTGGCAAAGGAACTTCTCTATCGCATGTATCTGATAAATAGAGATTCGGTTCATTATACCGCCATGCTGCTAGCCTTCTGTAAGGACGAGAATCCTATCCAAGGTCTGGGAAAAGCGTTCTCCCTTGCCATGGGTGCTAGAGTTTGTACTGATACAATAGAAGGTGAGAAATACGTCGAAGAGCTTGTCGAGCAGAAGCGCCGTGTTAAGGAGTTGGAATTTAGCCGGGATCATCTTCGAGAGGAGGCTAACGAGGTAACTTGAAATCCATTCTAATAATGATTTACGAAGTCACTATCATTTAGAATCGACTTGTTACGTTTGCGATGAAGGAAATAAAGGATAGTGAAAGAGAAAAAAAGAAAATAGTTAGACACAAATAAAGTAAACTGTAAAAAAGAAAGAAAGGAGATGATAAAGATTCCTTATTGGAATCTGAAGTTAAATAACGTGAACACTTTTTACTATAAATAAATAATAGGATATATTGTTTCGGATTAAAACAGAATATTTTAATATTTGAACAAGTAATTTTATAACAAAGTATTTATAAGAAATTGTATTTGAATTTAGTATCAAAATTCTACATTGATATTTTACAAAATATGTAATAAAGAGAGCGTATTTTCTTTTATAAAGATCGCAAAAGAGAGAAATAACATTAATTCCTGTAATATAAATAGCCACATATCCGGTTCCAGATAGTACGAGAAATTATGAATTACATAATAAACAAAACGGTAGAGAATGTCGCTTTGTACGAGAAATTCCACGATCATGACTTAAGTCCAAAACGCCGGATAATGATCCAGCAGTTGAATGGAACGGGCGAGATAGATCCGGCTGAGCTTTTGCCACCGGAAGTGATAGCAGAACACCTAGTTGTAGAAGATCCATCGGCGATCAGTGACGAATACGAACGCAAGCATACTCTCGTGTCAATCGGAGATGAAACGCTCGAAGATCATGAGAGGATACAGCAGGATGAAAGAGTGATCTTTTGGCTATCGCGGGATGTTTGTCTGGTAAAACCTCTTTCATTTGCTCTCACGAATAATTATCAGCAAGAGTCCTTTAAAAGGAAAAACAAACTTTTCACCGGGAGGATAAATTTTATTTTGAATATTAAAATAGAGTTGGAAGAGCAACAATTAATTAAAAATAAAATTTTACTTGGAAAAGTGAACGTAAACGCGCACTGTAAGCGTCATGTAAATATGACATCTGATTTTTATCTAGTCTAGTTTATTAGATGGTCCCCTTTGATTTTTACAGAACAGAGAAAAACCACTATATAGTGGTACTGAAACAGTGTACGTGTGTCATATTTTTTAAGTCAAGAAACATAATGAAATAAACACACAAATTCCATTGACGGAAAAGTTGTACGATTTAAAAAATGGAGCTCCTCTAAAAGTAAATATCCTCTTTTTAGACGGTTTTGTCCACTTGTCTACCGTGGCTTTCGTCGCAAGCAGATCTCTTCCAAACCACTGTGAGTCTTCGCGAAGAAATAGCACGTGTATATGACGAGTTACGAGACGAGGAGTTGAATGATGAAAAAGACCTTGTTTTAGCTCATCGTCTGGTGAACCACAGCTTCATGTGCGAATTACTCCGCGCTTCTTCCAAGTTTATCTCCAAAAATATGGCAGATCTGCTCCGCAGTATCTTGAAGGACAAGGATAATCAAATGACGTAACCATGAAAATTTACGCAGAGTTGTAACTGCATATTTCAACAAGATTACGTTCACATGATATTTTCACATATTGTTTACGACGTTTGCGTTAAGATTACATGAACTTTTTTCATGTAGGTAACACAAGCTGTGTAAAATATGTAATTAAATTATTTTACGTTAAATAACACAATACAGAAACAATGAAGTTATATCATTGTTTGATTTTAGTACTGCAAAATAAAAATATTATAAACGATATAGAAGCTTTATGCTTTAGTGCAATGATAAAGAAATACATTCGAATTCGACTGAACGCACTAGTGCACCCTGATTAAAGCTGTTGTTCATTCAATCCGAGTATAAAAGTAAATTGCAAATATTTTAAATTATAAAATACACGTTTTATCTAACTGTACAAAAAAGTGTTAAGAATTTTAATCTGCGATTTATCTCGTTTCGTATTTATATTTGCAAACATATATATCTTTTCATCAATTTGTACGACAGCTTTCAAAATTTACCAAATAAAAAATTTCAATAATCCACAGATTATATCTATTATCAAATGCATAAAAATATAAGTCATACATGACATAAAAATATTTCCATTCAATATTATATATTATAGATTGTATTTATTATTTATTTATTATCCATATATATTTATAAACATTTATTATGAATTCATACACGTAAAATATGTTTAAGATTATTATGTTCATACATAAATGCTGCACAACCTTACCCTTCGAATTTACCATAAAGAGCAAGTCTTTTCATACGAATAATTTAGCCGACGTTGTCAGATGTCGCCACATGGCCGGGCTGACGAGTCGTAGGCGGTTCCACCAATCAGCGCATCGCCTTTCCGTCGGCGCCATCGCGAGCGATGACGTTCGTCCGCTCCGCGGTCGCGCTGCGACAGTCTCGCGACGAGATGTCCTCCGCGGTGGAGATCATCGGAGTAGCTCCGCGCCCCTCTCGCCCTGCGACAAGAGATCGTCGTCGTCGTCGTCGTCTGGCGAGCGACGTTATCCACGCCCGGCGCGACGACCGCGATTCGTCGATCGGCCGCCGGTTGCGCCGATAATTCGATAAGAACGAAACAACGAGGAAAGGGGAGGGAAAAAGAACGTGTAGAATTCGGGAGCAGCGCAGAGTGGCGCGCCGCGTCTCAACTCCGAACCGAATCAACGTGGCCTCGGCCATCCTCACCCATCCTCACCGACAAGGCCGGCTGTGGAAGCTGCACGAACAGACACGACGCCACCCGATCCGACGCGACGCGATCACGTGGCCGTCCGTCTGTCCCTCCGGCTGACCGTGTTTACTTTCGTTCGTTTATCCGTTCGTTCTTTCGTTCGTTCGTTCGATCTCGTATATGCACATCCGTGAGCGTCGAATTGACGAAACGGCACGACGCGACGTCGGCGCGTTCATCACGCGCGCTCGGGATGTAACACCGTGGTTGGCGCCCCTCCGTTTTGCTCTCCACCTGGATGCTCCAGATGCTGCGTGTCGTTCACGTCGTCGCGGTGGCAGGGAGACGGTGACGCGATAATCGAAGATCGACTACGGTTGCTGCGCGACGAAGGTGAGTATCATTTGTGTTGTGTCTGATCGCACGTTATTGTTTATCTCTCATGACAGAGATTACGTCAGCCTGAATTCACGTGACAGCTGATGGCGAGAGATTATCGAGATCACTGCAACTGCTGAAAGAGAAAGAGATCAAAAAAAAGAATCGACAACTATTTTTCGTCCAAACGAAATATGAAGTTTCGCATCAGGTTTTATTTTGATGGTTTTTTTCTTATTTTGGTTTTATTCTTTTCCGTTGGATACAATTATATTTATATTGTGTAGTTTACATATTATGGTATTTTTACGTATATATTCTGGCGATGCATTCTGTTTATAAATATACAGAGAATATCATATCAAGTAATTGTGATAATTTAATGAATATTTTTTATACGCGTGTATTTTGACGCTACAATTTTTTTTATGTTATCCTTTTTATATTACGCGTTTAAAATTGCAATAGGATTCTATCCTCGAATTCTGATGCAGATTGTCTGAAATGGATAGTGATCGAATATACACGCTAAAAATATAAATGGTATATATATTGTATTAAAGTAATGCCGAGTATTTAATTTTCGAACAGAACACGCGAAGAAAAATAGTATAGTATATATAGAATGAAATACATGTCGCGAGACTAATTAATTATCCAGACAATGCGCCATGATATCGTCGACGATTTCTTCAAACTGTTGATTTATACGTATATCTGGATAATTAATTGAAACTATCAATGCTGTAACGCGTGGAACTATACAATTTTTAACAGTCGACAGCAATTTAAATCTCTACATTGGCGAATTGTCCGGACAATTTCGTGACTATATATATAATCGCGATGAGCGTAATATCTCAATTATATCATTTTTATCGGCCAATTTTAGCTCACGTGCAGTGACAAGCAATTGAGATGTATATTTCTCTCTCTTCCTCTTTTCTCTTTCGTGAAGAGATTTTAAAATAAACGTATTAAACACTCGCGTGCATTTGGCTGCGTACCGTCGTTTCTCGGATTATGATACTGCAGGAAAGTTAATATGCCGAAATTACGCGATTCATTTTGTTTAACGAGACACACACGTGAAAGTACGTAGCCGCGCGCATTTTGCATTAATGCGCAGAGCGCGCAGGCCAAATGAGATTGTAGAAATAAGTTCGCGAATACGCTGCAATTCGTCGCTTATTAAACCCGTGGAGCATCGCTCCGGAATTCCGGGGATGTAATTTGGCACGTTTTCGACCGTACAAATATGTCCGGGCACGATTACTTTTCCCATGTCGAATTCAAACTTTGTACAGACAAACGCGGAAGACCGTAACGTCATAGTTTCAATTGAGAGTATTTTGTAATCTGTTAATTTCGAATTTACACGGTCGATTTTAACGAGCACGAGATCTGCTATAAAGTTAATGTTATATAGTCGATCTGTGTTATATGTTTATTAATATTACAATGCAACAATTGTTTCAATACATAACGATAAATTCAATTGTTGTTTAATCATATGTAGAAACTACAATACGAATTTTCAAACAGCAGTTTGCCTTACTATCTTTAAAGAAATGTTAATATACTTTTGGAGTAAAAAAAAAGTAAATAAAATATGAAATGTGTGAAAAGTTATTTCAACGAAACTTTTTAAAAATATTTTTAAAACTTATTCTTAAGCTTTAGAATTGTTAAAAGTTCGTACATTGATTCTTGTTTAAAAAAGAAACTTATCTTTTTAAGAAAATGATATTCAGACTGAAACTACAAATTAACTTTATCAAACTTTAAGAACTTTATCAATTTATTTGCGAATTATTACAACAAATGTAGGTAACAAAAGGAAAACACGTAGTAAAATGACTCTTAACGAAAGCGGTATTCAGATTTTTAAGTCACGCGGCTATTGGCAGCAAAAAGTTTGGAGAATTCATATTTATCAGTTTTTTAATCTTTTTCTTAAACTTGGGAGATAAATTGAAGAAGTTAAAAGTTTCTGAACCGAGAAGTTCAAAGTTTATATATCAATTCCTATTTAAGATATGAAGATCATTGAAAAGAAATCTATTATTTGATGAAGAAATGAAGTTGTAAATTGACACGTATAACGTAGAATATCTGGAAATTATCACGAATTTATAACTACGAATTACTGCAATAAAAGAGAATGGTCGAATATCACTTTCGATTGCGACAACTTGAATATTTTTCAACCGTTCCGTGTGTCTGTCGGTCGCATAAAATCTGAAATTTGAAACAAAATTACCGTGAGGCTATTGTGCAAAAAAAAAAAAAAAAAAACAATGCAGGAACCCTTATGTGCACAGTGACCTAAATGCGCGGCAGTATGTTTTTAATCCGCGGAGACGAAGCGTTGTTGCGCGTCGATAAAGGCGCGGGGACAGAACGGGGACGAATAGCACGTTCTGCGCCTTTTTCTTCTCTGCAAAAAATAGTTCTCGCTTCATCGTTGAAAGAGAGTGGATCTTACCCTCCTTACTCATGCCGCGAGTAGTTTCTCTTGTTTATTCGAGAGGGAGACTCGAAATAATGCCCGACATCGTGCGAAACTTCGCTGGAGGCACTCAACAAGAAAGTTTAAGCATATAAAACACGCACTCTTACGTGATAAATATGTACTTTTTATAAAAAAAATATCCATTTTTCTAGCTTAAAAGCACAAAATTATAACGATAAATATCTTTCTCTTTCTACCTTTGCGACGCAAAATTCTTTCATTATTTAGTTCATGTGTTTTTAAAATTTTTAAGAATTTATGAAAGTTAAGCTCTGTATGATAAAATTTTAATTTGTGTACCAAGTGTATGTGTCTGCCTCTTTTTTTCTTTTTAATGGTTCACGTTATTCGGGATCAACGGAAAATAAAATAAAATAAACAATCGGTCAATAGATAAATGATTAGAGGTAATCATGCTCGTTTGAACTCGATATTCGACATAACGGTGAACAAAGCGTGAAAATGAGCGACACGTGTGCCTACGTGCGTGTGATTAAACGCAACTCCGCATGCTTTTTGCGCGTATTTGCATAAAACGAGATGAGTTCTCTGTACGCTAATGGGGCGCTGTAAATCTCGACGATTATAACATCGAATCGTTACGAGAGCGTTATACCATTGTATGCGCCGATTCGATACATTACGACAAATTCGATTCTCTGTCGGACCGGTTGGCAAATTCGAATTTTGCAGCAAATTCTACTTTATTATGCTACGAGTCATTAGTTACGTCCTACGTGCAGTGGTAATTAATGCCGGCGTTCGATTGTGGCTTTTGTGTGGTGGATAAATAGAGAATTTCGATAAATTTCGATACGCGCTACTGTCGCACAAACGAAATATATTATACTTCGTAATTTTATATCGTGTATAAATTTTGTGTTAAGGGTCATCCCGATAATATCTATAAATTATTACGTAATATCGGTACTAAGGGGGATCGAACTAAAAATAGGTATATTGAAATTTAATTAAAAATGATTTAAAATTTAATTAAAGATGAGTGAAAATTTAATTGAAATAATTTTCGTCGTATTTTTTTTTTCGAGACTATTTTTGTAATCCATCATGAAATAAATTTCAGAGATGGAAGCAGGAAAATAAAAAAAGAGGATTTTTTTTTTACGCTAATGGATTTTTTATACATTTGTGTGTGTTTACTCTTCTCATATTAATACGTGGGTTCGTTCGAAATTTTAATTTACGCGGCCGGTTGTTTTCGCAAGTAACATTAATATGGAATTTTATAATTGTTGGCGTTTCATTGAGTATGTGTTTTTCCTGTATAAGCGAATCAGAGATCTCGAGTACACTCTGTTTGTAACATAATTAAATAATTGTCATATTGTTCGTGTGCACGAGTATATGTACCGATCGTTAAATATCCACTAACCGGAACAATGACGAGCGATCGCTTTCGCGACAAGTGACCGTGACAACGTCACGGTTATGGCTGCTAGTCGCTCGTAATGTATTGAAATCGCCAGTAAGATCGTCGAAATGGCAATCGTTATCAGGCACGTGGCTGTGATTAATCGTTTATCTCTCGCGGTTCGATTATACATGGAAGCTGGCCGTCCGAATCGAACGGACTATGTTTGTAGCGTATTTGGTATTGTGCACGTCCAAACGCTCCTCCAATGTTCAATCGATCCCTTCGATTATTCTGGGATATAATACAATTACGGCCGCGGTCCTCGATTCTGATACGACCGCGAATTGTACGATACTCGACTATTAGTGTGTTGCGACTCATTGTGCGACTAGTGTAATCGCGTCTACATGTAAACCGGTTTGTACAACCACATCTCTTTCGCTTTTTTCAACTTCCATAATTTTCACATATTATTTTTATACATCCGATACGATGATTGCAACATTGAATTTCATCGTGTGGTTCAGATAACATGAAAATGCGATGGAAGCTCGAATTTCCTACTGGAACTCGATTTGTTTTGTTATAAATACACTTTTTTAAACTCGTAAGAAGATGTATTACTAATGTTATTAATAATGGAGACTGTGATATTTATCGTATATTTATTAACTATTTTTTGAACATTTTTGTCGTCATTTATCTAGTAGTAATTTATTTAGTTGCATTGATCTATTACTTTCAAATAACATTGAAACAGTTTTTATTATTATTTTTTTAACAAGAATCTGCAAAAACATTTCTATTTCAACAAGATATGAAATGTACAACGTTTGTTTTGTTTTTCTGCAAATACTGTATTAATATCTTTTGCAGAAAAAACTGTTTAAAAATAAAATTCGAGAAAATTGCTCGACTGAAAGTATTAACACGTGCAATATGTGCTAGAATATTTTATGATGATAGTATTCTCATGAGGATTTATGTTTTCAACTTAATTAATTGCTTGTTGACCTTAAGAACGTTATATTATTATTTCATTCACGCAGCAGCTTTGGCTTCCCTAGTGTATTGTATGACAAACTTTATCTGCAAGATGATATTTTAACTACTTTTTTAATGAAT